TTTCGCATGTACCTGCCCCGTCTGCCTTTATCTGCTTAAATCCTCATCCCTATTCATCCTCAGTCTCTGCCATTTAATCTTGGATAAGTACATCCTGCAGTTCCTCGTCGTCTCGATAGTTTCATTTGAAACACCGCAACAAAATTCTCTCCTTTATATAAGCTCGCATTAAAGAGAGAGAGAGAGAGAGATAGAGAGAGAGAGAGAGAGATAGAGAGATAGATAGATAGAGAGAGAGAGAGAGAGAGAGAGAGAGAGAGAGAGAGAGAGAGAGAGAGAGAATATATATATATATATATATATATATATATATATATATATATATATATATATATATATATATGATTAGTGTTATCATTAATTAGTGAATCAGTTGATAAACTATTATCATAATTGTCATCATGTGGATCATCGTCATCAGAAGCATTATTATTATATATATTTTATACATATATTTTATTATTATCATTAGTGTTATCTATGTATATGTATATATGAATATATATACATATATATATATATATATATATATATATATATATATATATATATATATATATATATATATATACACACACACATCTGTGTGTGTGTGTGTGTGTGTGTGTGTGTGTGTATGTGTGTGTATACAAATATAAATATTTATATATTTTTTCTTCTTTCTTTTTTTTCTCTTTCTCCCTTTCTTTCTTTTTCTTCTTCTTAAGGGAACTCCTTATATACGGAAAATTATCGAATTATTCTGATTTCCAGGACATCGCATATTTCTTCTCTCCGGCGTGGTGACTCTCATCACCATGTTATTTTTCCACCAGACATTCCTTTCGCGAAATAAAAATGACGTGGAATTTCAAGAGTGCGGCCTCGATTGTTTACGTGAGTAGCTGCGTTTGCTTACGTCAGGGCGATCTATTTTTGCCTTAATGTAATTGCAAGAACTTTTTAAATTAGGGTTATTTATTCGTGGTTATTTTTAATGATGCGAATGTCGCCATTTTTTATCAGTAACTTTTTTGACGGAATTGGCGTTTTTTTTTTTTCTTCTTCAATTCACTTCATTTTCTCGACAGGGCACGACACGAAGCCCTATATCCTGCAGACGCCCGGATGCAGCATCCCTGACTTCGACCCTCTGCATCCCAGTGTTGCCAGGTTCAAGGTGAAGAAGCCCAAGAAGGTATGGCAACACCTGCTGGTATCTTATCCCCCTCCCCCCTCCTCCCAATCCGTTCAAGACCCTTTGTTCAAAGATTCACTTTCTATTCACTTATTTTTTACAACTATTTACCATTTACTTACTTAAAAATTGCCAGGCATCGATTCATTCACTTATTTTTGCGTGCGTTGATATATTACGTTTTTCTTTTTCTCATTTCTCTTAGTACACTTGCTCCAGACGAAGACCGCTGACGGAAGTTCGAGGTCTGACCCTCCTCCTCCACCGGGACCGCGCCGAGGAGTACGGGGTGACCGAGGAAGGGCTTTCGTGTGTGTATCAGGGCATCGTCAGAGTGGAGCAAGATCCCGGTAACTTCACCATGGACTGTGATAAAAAATTTAGGTTGGTTATATATTGGCTTTTGTTATGTTCGATTATCATTTACTGTATTCTCTTATCTTGTCTACACTGTGGTACATACGTGACCTCGGATAATATTGGGTGATATACAGTGAATACTTGTAACAGTTATCAAAATAGGGAAGATTCTCTGGTTTTGAATTTAGATCCTCTAGAAAATCTATCAGGGATCAAATGACTGAAGGTAGTTGTTCGTCTTCTTTGTTTGTTTGGTGTCCCTCTATGATACTTGAGGGCGAAGAAAACACCGATGAAATTTAAAGTAGGTTCATTTGAAATCAGCTCTGACAAAAATAACACGGAACTCTTCATGTTCCTCTGCCCCACACGCCAGGCTCCGTCTCTCTGTGTTTACTGCCAGACGTGTGACTACAGAGACAAAATAAAATGTTGTACTCTATAAATCTAACAGAGAATATCATTCTTTCATATAAGTGATATGCTACACAGTAATATAAACTAAACATAATCTTCTATATTTCACTTGGTATAACATATCACGCAAAAGGTAGTGTATATAATATAATAACATAATTATCACAATATGCGTACGATAATACTGTCATTATAATCCATATGCATCGGCATCACAACATGGCACTCACAACTCACATTGTTATCACAACTCACTTCACTATCACAACCCACAGTAGTTTGGTAGAGGTCAGCTAGATTCCATTTTTTAATAAACTGAACCAAATATCCAAACATATATCATTATTTCCACAAATTAATATCCCTGCTAACAATCATTCAGTATAGAGCTTAATTTACTTCAAAATAAATCCCACCCCTCTGTCATTCGCTGGTGATCTTCAGACGTTTGAGAAAGTAAGCCAGAGATTTTGACAGTACTGGCAATAGTTAGACCATTATCGGGTGTTTTTGTCTAAACCTTACATTCCTTTCAGGCTGAAGAAGAAGATCCTCATTCGAGACGAGATCACGGCCATAGATGACGACGGCGTGTTGGTGTCTTGTCACAGCAACGTAAAGAAACTGTATGAAACAGTCCATTACTTCCTGCAACCGCGAAGATCCGAGGCAAAGAGAAAACGTTTTCAGGTACAGTCGTAACGAAATGCAGGTAACTACCCTGGTACGTTAAGATTTGAGAGAAATAAATATAATAGTATCTAAATCAAATGTACATATTCATCATATATCAAACTACCAAAAAGATTGTTACATGCTGACTTACATATATTTTTTCACACACACAAACTAATGATAAGTGTTTTCCTGCACGCAGGAGAAACATGGCGACCGTCGACGAGACATGCTAAGTGTCTTGATCATGGGCATCGACTCTGTGTCTCGCGCCAACATGCGACGAAACATGCCCAAGACGTTCCACTTCCTGAAGGATGAGCTTGGTGCTCTCGACTTCCAAGCCTTCAACAAAGTGGCCGACAACACCAACCCCAACATGGCCGCTTCACTGATGGGACTCACTGAGAAGGAGTTGACTGAGATCTGTCAGCCGAAACGTACGAAATTTGACGACTGCCCCCTCATCTGGAAGAATTTTTCTGACGCGGGATATATTACAGTATATGGGGAAGACGACCCATATTCAGGAACCTTTCATTACAATAGGTATGGGTTCGTTAAAGAGCCCACTGACTACTACAATCGGCCTTACATGTTAGTTTCTCACACATACACAAAACACAACGCAGGGAAATCCGGAAGCTTTGTACTTTGTTTGGGAGGAGAAAAGAGCATATCAGTTATCCATAATTACTCGCTGGCTGTTGCAAATACATTCCGAGACACACCATATATTTCCTATTACTGGAATACAGGCATAACACACGACGAAGTCGAATGGGCCTCAGCCACTGATCTGCCGTCACTCGAGTATCTGAGAAAACTAAACGAGAGTGGCGTGTTGGACCACACTATACTGTTCTTCATCAGTGACCATGGAATCAGGTTTGGAGACATCAGACAGACCTATGCTGGGCTGTTAGAGGAGAGACTGCCGTACTTCTTTGTGTTGTTTCCCCCATGGTTTAAGGAGAAGTACCCTGAAGCCTGGAAGAACCTCAACACCAATACGGAAAGACTCGTATCAAACTTTGACTTCCATGTAACACTAGGAGACATCCTTGTCAGGGCATATGAAAATAATTTCACCAGGTGAGTGTGGAAATGGAAAATGTTCAACAGTTGACAAGAAAGTTATTTTGTGATTAAGTATTCATTCATTTATACGTTTAAATATTTATGAGACGGCCTTGGATGCCAGTTATATAGGGAACTTTCATTTTATCATTTTGAATATCTATTGATTTTAGTTTGCCACCGATGCCACATGGACAGAGTTTGTTCCAAGAGATCCCCGACAACAGGAATTGCGAAGATGCTACCATACCAGAACACTATTGTACTTGCGAACGCTCCAAACAAGTAGAAGCCAATCACCCGCGTCTTCGCAAGGCTGCAGAGTTTGTCGTAAACCAACTTAATTATGGAATGGAAGCGTTTCCTGGATGCATCGAACTGCACGTGGGAGAGGTAAGTGTATCAAAAATACCAAAGGTAAAATCGCTATAATGGCAGATACCTTTATTATAATGACAGAGACAAAACATTGATAACTGATGGAAAACGCATATTTCACGGTTACATAAACTGACAACAAATGGACACGCCTTTGCTGTTACATATATCCTGAATTTATGTCCCGCAGGTAATCAGAGGTCGAATGGGACTGAATCGAAAAGGTGTTCGACCAGACGAGGCCAAGACGAAGACTATATCTGTCGTCTTCACTACCTTGCCGGGTGAGTGAGTCTAGAAGCTTTAGGGAGATATTGATAACGCTTGAAGTATAACAAAATATCTAAGAAAATATACATTAAAGGGACCATAAGGTATCTGGGAGGTTTACGACTGAGAGTTTGTGTTAGGATGTTAACGTTAGGATGTTAGCACCCTATAGCATCTGTTTAAGTAATCCTACCACATCCAGTATCGTATATTGCGTCTCATGACTATAGTAGCGCATGTCATTACTGTTCGGAAATATCATGTTCATCATATCTCCACTGCAAAGCAAAACCAGTACGAAATAGGAAAATGATGCACTCTACAGTACCCTATACAGCGACATGCTATTGTGTTCGTACAATGTCTAATCCGCGCTGCGTGCTGTTTCACCAGAATATGGGTGGACGTCAAATGACTCATGACTATATAGTTATAGGGCTCAAAAGTTTGTTGAAAATGCAATTCTAAGATACATATGGCTCTGAGCACAGCTGATAGTTCTTTGAAAAAGGAGCTGGACATGAACTTTTAAAATATAAATATTAAAGTTATTTGTTGAAGAGATCTGCATCTTCATGGCAAAAATATAGGAATCACTTTATTACTTTTGTTATTTCTTACATGGCATGGGCGCATGATCCCAGTCATGTAACTGGTATGAGTATGGTATATATAGCGCGTGATTAAAACATTTAATTTAAGATTAGATATACTTCTGCAAATTAACACAAACTGCCTTATAAAAAACACCAAGATGAACAATACCTCTATTCTTTCGGTGACGACGAATTCATTTCTGTATTTATATTGGTTTACAGGTAATGCTAAAATGGAGGCGACAGTGAGACAGTACGAGGGCAACTTCGAACTCACAGCCGACGTCTCCAGGATCAACAAATACGGCAACCAGAGTCACTGTATCTCCGACCCCTTCTATGCAAGATACTGTTACTGCAGAGACTTGCTAACTTCTGAATCCCCTACATTATCCACGTAGATGAATTCTTTTCGGATGGCCTAATATTTGCCATTAGTTATATACTATTTATTTGCGGAGCGGACTGTCCCTAGGGATACCGTGAGTATACTTGAAAGAAGAAAGAAAAGAAGAAGAAAGAGAATTACGTGTACATGTTCAGAGCTGGATAATTATATCTATAAACTGTATAGTATGCATTATTATGTACAAATTAGTATTAACTGTGTATCTGGTGCGTTGTAGCAACTATTGAACAAGTGCTTATGTCTTCGAGTCATGAGGGTACTGCTGTGACGATGGAGCTGGGAAACTCAACGCAAACTGAAATTCTTACCAGCGAGCCAAGGTAAAAAGCCTTAGATTTGTTTGTAATGTTTTAAAGCGTTGAAGTTTTAGTAAGACTACATTGTATTTTGGGCTTCTGAGTAAGTGGGACTCTTCTGCGCAGAGAAAACTAAGAGCATGATTATATAATGATAAAAAAAGACCAAATTAATGTGAAAATCAGGGGTATCTTTTACTTTTATAAGTACTTTTTTAGGAGGACCCTTATCTCACTAATATGAAAAGTAACAATGATTTAGGGGAATTTTCCATTATTACAGTATTATACGTCTTTTGTATATAAAAAGATGAAACGATTACAGAGAAAGTGAATTATTATGATTATGGGATCCATTTTCTGTTGCATTTATCGTGTCAATTTTCAATTACATGGAAAGTAAGTGTGATTAATTAAAAGTTAACTGGAACGTGATAATTATCATCACGATTACTTTATGTACAAAGTGATAAAATGAAAGAAAGAAAGAAAGAAAAAATCATCATCATATGTTATAAAAGTTATATTTTTCATACATATGTCAGATAACTGTTGCAATTTTGTACTTACATTTTTATCGAGTTATAACTTTGAAAAAAATGACATGAATTTAATCAAAGGAAAGGTTTACACTCTTATCTTAATACTAAAGCAAAGAGTTCGCATTTCACCGTTTAACGTGTATAGAAACTGGCATAAAAGCTGAATTGTTTGGTAGATGTGGATATGACTGATAGAACCCAGTTTATTGTTTGTTTATGCAGTAACTTCAGCTTAAGATACGAAAAATATAAATGTTGGCTGTGACTGCGAGATAGATAGTAATGCGGCCCTCGTCTAAGCTTTCATTTATATATGAAAAATGAAGGATGGTTGAAAGACTGTGATTTTATTTATTTATTGTATATTTTTTCTTATTTTCTTTAATATTTCCTATCACTGCTTTCAAATGTAAATTGATTTTAATTATAGGTTTAGCGTAGTATTGTATTGTACTTAGAATATATTCTGTATTTTCTCCAATAAATAAATCAACGAACTGATACAAAATGTTTTATATGTCAACAAGAAAACCATACTAATTTTAGCTAAACTATAAGGAATGGGGAAATTCGTTAACCTTGAAAAGACTATTATTCGGGATCATTTTACTACTTTCTTGATACGCGCACGCACACGCGCACGCACACGCACACGCACGCGCACGCACACGCACACGCACACGTACGCGCACGCACACGCACACGCACACGCACACACACGCAAGCACACACACACACACACACACACACACACACACACACACACACACACACACACACACACACACACACACAGTGTGGGATAGTATTGTATTGTATTATTCAATTTCTTATACTTGCAATAATCAGATACTTGTTTTGTTTTCTTCTTTATAATTTATTTATCTATTCATTTATCTGTTGGTTACTTTACGTTGTGGAATCTATGGAATCCCTTTTGCAACTAACCAAAATCTATAATTATTTAAGTAGCATGGAATATGGGTAATTTGTCCTACACAAATTTTGTTCAGATACTTATAGCAGGTCGCCGAGTACACTATTATAAATATTATAGTTTATGCTATAATTTTTAACACATTTTCTTTGAATATCTTTAAAAGAAAATATGTCCTCTTTGCAAGCAATAACTCTGTAAAATACAGTAAGTTCGTCAGTGACTGTTCTTTATAGGATATTAACATTTCTTTAAAAAATGAATAAGTAAAGTAAGTTAATAAATAAATAAACAAAACAAAACAAATATATATGTAAAACGCCAAAGCACAAGTTATATATATGTCTCTGTACTTTAAAGACTGGGTGGATTTATTAATGCAAGAGGACCGACTTTCGTGTGTTCCGTCACTAAGCTTCCAGATATTACTGTCATGCACACTTTATCATTTCGCCGTGGAGATTCGTCCGGTACCGGATTTTATCACATTTTGGCTATTCTTCCGGCACGCACGCGCATTAACTATTTGCGCGAGTTTCGTAGTTGTATCTCGTCTCTGTTGGGATATTTTTCCGGCATTTTCTGTCGGACACCTATCCTGTAGAGCTTTTTTTCCCAGCAATATTGCAAGAAGCAATTTTTGTTTGCCATTATATTGAAAATCTCCAGCTTGTCATTATTCTGCAAATTTGTTTGTTGTCAGAGGTCCCCGTGTGGAAAATAAATAGCAGAGATAGCAGAGATAGATAGAGGGTGATAACAGAGGGTTAGGTTAGGTGGTTAGGTTAAGTGGTTAGGTTAGGTTAGGTGAGGTTAGGTTAGGTTAGGTTAGGTTGGCTGGTTAGGTTAGGTTAGGTGATTAGGTCAGGTGAGGTTAGGTGATTAGGTCAGGTGAGGTTAGGTTAGGTGGTTCGGTTAGGTTAGGTGGTTAGGTTAGGTTAGGTGGTTAGGTTAGGTTAGGTTAGGTGGTTAGGTTAGGTTAGGTTAGGTGGTTAGGTGATTAGGTCAGGTGAGGTTAGGTGATAAGATCAGGTGAGGTTAGGTTAGGTGGTTCGGTTAGGTTAGGTGGTTAGGTTAGGTTAGGTGGTTAGGTTAGGTTAGGTTAGGTGGTTAGGTTAGGTTAGGTGGTTAGGTTAGGTTAGGTTAGGTTAGGTAGTTAGGTTAGGTTAGGTTAAGTGGTTAGGTTAGGTTAGGTGGTTAGGTTAGGTCAGGTCTTATTTCTGCTGGACAATCTTGTTTGAATGTGCTTAAAAAATGATAAATATCAATATAGCTGTACTGTAGTTACAAGACTGTTAAGTTTAGTGTATGTATCCTACACAAAAATCCAGATCCACAACCATAAAAAATGGCGCCATCGTTTGTTTTGATGACTGCGCAAGCGTGCCGAACGAATAGCCAAAATGTGATGAGATCCGGTGCCGGACGAATATCCACAGCGTTATCATTTTCCATTTATTTTTACAAAACAATAGGATTTGTGTTAGTTATGTAACCCTAAGCGTTATTGTGTAAAATGTATTTAAAGGATTTTTATTTTGGTTGGTTCCCTGTTCCACTGTAAACAGAAAATCCATATTATCATAGTTATTCTGGAACATCACTTTATAATAGAAGATTCGCAGAATACAAAGTGAAAAAAGAAGAAAAAATGAGATGGATTCTCAGTGGGTAGTGTGATTGATTTTCTTTTAATATATTTCACTAGATATTGTTATTATTATCATCGTCATTATTATTATTGCTATTATTATTATTATTATTGTTATTGACATTATCATTAACAATATTATTATCATCATTATTATCATTAATAACATTATTATCATTATCATTATTATTATCATTATCATTATCATTATTATTATTATTATTATCATTATTATTATTATTAACTTATATTTATCTGTTCCTCGTGTATTTTCGAACCAATGTCTTCCTCCTTGAAATATTCCATCCACACAGTAAGTAAACTATAGATACCAAGTATTAATCCTAATCTATTTCAAACTAAAGTTAGAGGAAAATCTCCCCTATTGGCAAAAGTGAATGATAGAGACTAATAATCCCTGACTAGGTACATGAATAGAGAAACGGCAAGGGCGAATGCTTTTACGTATGTAGTCCACACACACTTTGCTATTTTGAGTATATGAAAGACTTAACAACCAAGGAAAAATAACTTATTTTCTACATCAAATGCATCACTTTGATTTTCATATTATTTATCTATTTGTTTATTTATTTATTTATTATTATTATTATTTTGTTGTGAAAAGAATTTCTAAATTTCTGATAACCATTGTGGTGGTCACTCCGACCTCTGTCACATTAAGGAAAAAAATGAAAAGATAAACAAATAAAAGAATTTTAAAAAATCATAGAGGGTAATCTTTTGGATAAAGGGGAGAGAGGGAAAAAAAAGTGGACAATCTGTTTAAGTAAACTTAAATAAACCTTTTTTTCTCTCTTTGTATTTTGTCGGTCTACCAAGCCGCAGAGCTAAATAACATTGTCATGAGATTTGATACATTTTATTCTTCTGAAATAGTCTTCTGTAACCCCCCCCCCCCCGAAATAAAATAAAAATAAAAAAGAAGGGAAAAGAAAGAAAGAAAGAAAATTGAAATGTTCCAGCTTATGACTCTTAACATAGATTTTAACAAACTCCGTGGTAATAGTATTTGTTGCCTGTCGTCCTTCTGGTGTCTTTTTGGGATCAACTGTTAAATAAAAAAAATCTATCGTTTCACTGCATGTACTATAAGAATATAATAGTTTAACCTGCTCATTGAAGAAAATGTTTTTGTTTTCTATGATATATTTAGGACTAACTTGAACAATTGAAATAACAATCTCTCTC